GGGGGGGGGATGCCTTAATAAATAACATGCATCGCTGAGTCCTCTACCCATCAGAAAATGGCACTCCGAGCTCTTGATCTGAAAATCCCATGCCTATCGGAGGACAGCTTGGGAGATATATTGCTCCAGAACAAATCTATTGAAGAGGAAAAGCCTAAAATCAAACACCTCTTAAAAAAATCCTCGCAATATTTTTTCAAATTGAAAAGTCTACATGTGTGAACTAGCTTGAGCTACATGAATGAATCGATTTTGGAGTAAAAATACATAAAATATGCAGCGCATCGAGAAATCTATTAATATCAACTTTGACAAAATTTGTTAGATCTCTTCCCGACTCTTTAATCATGAAAGTTAGAAAGACAAAAACTTTTTGTAGAATACAGTCTTTTCCAAGAAATATCAGTTTCCAGAGACACCATTCGTCATCTTCAGAAATTGTATGCAAACTGAATTCTTTTTGTGTTATTTATTCGAAATAGTTCAGGTCATAAAAATTTAGTAGAGAAAACAATTCAAGAAAACATTCTCTTATGGTTGCAAATCAGTCAGGTAGCAACAACGACTCATTTACACAATATTATTTAAGAGAAAGCTATATTGTGTTATTAAAAAAAGCAAGAATAACTTTCATTTCCGATACACCGTTGAACAGAGCATTCTTTACGCTACAGAAATCAGCATTAAACATATTTTTTTCATTTTCCCTCTGATATAAAAAGGAAACTGACAAAAAATAAACAATGCTGTTGCTCAATAGTAAAGTTTCAAGAACTGTTTGTTTGAGGGTATTTTGCGTTAGGCTTTTTCTTCTCTTCAGATTAGCCTTGCTAAAATATGTCTGGTACAAAACTTATACTTTAGACATTGCTTTTTCTAACAAGAAAAAAAAAGAACTTTCTTGGTTAAGAAGTGCGTAATATGGTCTAACAGACTGTGACATGCGTGTAACGCAAGGGGGAAATAGCGGACTCCAATCCAATGGAGTCCAGTGAAGTCCAGTGGAGTCCAATGGAGTCCAATGGAGTCCAGTGGAGTCGTTTGAAATTCTGGAGAGGACTTCACAAGTATATTATAGACATGTAATACTGCTGTATATTGGTTTTACTTTTCATCACCTGTTACATAGAATTAAACTTATACTGGCTCCACTTTTGAGATGTTCGCACAGTATCTGTGCACCACCCATATACAACACCTTCAATGAATAAAAAAATTTTAAATTCAACAAAATATACCCTTTATTGAAAAAAATCAAACAAACACTATAAAAGAAAAAGAAAAAACCATTTATATTATCATTTATTGACCTGTTGCACGCGAAGTAATCGGTCATTTGAAAGTTTACTTTTCTCTTCTGTTAACAACCAACAAGCAGTTTGTTTGTGTAAAAATTTTGTATCATGATTTAATTTCACTTTAAAATAGGTATGTTCAATATGAGGCTCCACTTTATCAGCAACTTTTACTCCAGAGAAGTCTTTCTTTGTAGTATTTATTAAATCTTGAGTGTTATTTTGTTCATCTTCATCAGTGTAATCGTTGTTAATAGAGCTATCATCATTGTCCTCATTCATGCTGAGATCATTTGTTGTGTCATCTCCATCTTCATCATTATCATCGTCACTTTCAAATACTTCATCGTCTATATTGCTTATTTGAGAAGAGTAATTATGTTTTTGTGAATTGGAATTTAATTGTCGAAATAAATATTCCCTTAATGGTTTTAATCCAAGAACATGTTTTTTTTCCAATAAGTTCAATATATCTAGACCTTCAAGCATATCAACAGCATGATGATAGGCATCAGTAATAACTCGTTCGATGTCTATTTCATCAATTTCAAGTTGACTGTGTGTAAATGATGATTGACGTTCAACCCGATGTTTATAATGAACCGGAAAGACTAACTTGTCAACTGAACCACTATGTAACTGTTTACATTTAATGTCATTCAATAATGATAATCTTTGGGCACGTCGTGGAAAATCATGTACTGTAAAGTTGACTATGGTTGAATAAATTCCACTTAACGCTCGTGTATTTCTAAAAATTGATTCACAAGCTTGCGAGTTAAAAATAGGAATATTCAATGCTTGTGGTGGTAACTGCTTTTGTTTGACAAGTAAAATTAAATATAATAAATTATGAGCATTTATTTCAACCGATAAATATGCTGGTTGTGTAATAAAATATCTGCTTTTATTATTGTTTCTGGTTTGTGTTAAATTAAATGTTTTAAATTTAATCCAGGTAAACCATAGTCGACAAAAAAAACACTACACACCAAGCAGATCGTAGTCCTACAATAAAATCTTATTATATGTGATCTAGCGTGTATAAGTACTCACTTTCAACTATTGTTGTTGTTTTTTCAATATAAGCTACTATAATCATTTTTAACACTTGAAAATAAAGCAAGGTTCCACGAGTATCAGCAGTAGCATTTAAAATATTGAATAGATCATTAGATGTTAATTTCAAACAAGAACTAAAGTTTTGACGATCCTTAGGGTTAATGTCAGATTTTGTTAGACCATGATCAAGTTTAGAATAAGTATCATTTTCAATAATATCATGCAAATGATTGATCGATATTGACTGATTTCCGAGACATAATTCTGCTGTTGCTGATAATAAACGATTACGCCATTTGGTTACCAAATGTGTCGGATCTTGAAAAAATAATAATAATTGTTGTTCACGAAGATAAAACTAAGACCAGTGTGATCTTATTTTTATTTGAAATGCTTGTGGGTGCTGGTGAACTTGAAAATTCGGAAGAGCTCCAAGAAAACCGCTCATTAAACGCATAGCACGTAGATATTTTGGATCCGCGTCTATAGAAAAACGCAGTTATTCTTTAATAAAATTTGAAAAAAAAATTGTCTCACCAGTAGAAAAACCAATGATTCTGATATTTCTTTGTAAGGATTGATTAAATATATACCACCATCTCTGTAATATATCGTTCGCGGTTGCAGTATTGTCAATTCCATATGCTGATAATAGATAAGGACTTGGTATGCTGCTATTATCTGTGGATTGCAATGGCTGAATCATATGTACATTCAATAACGATGCTTTATCAATTGAATTGAACCATAATTTTAATGCATCAAATGAGTCAGTCTGATAATATGATTTAATTGGCACTCCACGATCAAGTAATGAAGGAAATCCAGTAAATGTATTTGTTGTTGAATCATATTTAATTCTTTTAACTATACCAGTACAATCTTCAGAGCCGAATGCATATTGCACATTAAGACTATCAAAATGTTTTTGAAGTTGATCGAATCTAAATTCTCCTTCACTGATTCTTGAATCTGAACTTGAAATCAATGAATTTAATAAAGATAGATGTGGTAAAGATCCAGGTAAATTTAATCTAAGAAATTCATAGGTCAATTTACCACCTAAAATATACAACGATAAAGCAAAATTCTTAATCGAATTACTATATCGAAAATTATTTTTCGATTTTGTCAAATTATCAGTGATAGTATCAATAAAATGGTTTAAAAATTTATCTTTATTTTCATCAGCTTCATTTTCATTGCTAACTCGTTGATACCAAATAATTAATTTTTTTAACAATGGATATTTATTTATAAAATCAAATGATAAACTGGGATTAGAATCTGCATTACTACTTGTTTTAATTTGTTTTTGTTGCTGTTGCTTTAAAAATTCTAATAAACAATTCAAATTATTTATTAACCCAATCTTCACAACAAATGTTCCATTATCAAGTTGAAAACATGATCTTTCTCTTATCATTAAGAAACTAGATTCCGAACAATTCATATTAAATATTTCAAAGATATTCGGGTTTCGAATAAGAGATTGTGTAGATGTAATTGATTGGAATTTTAGAATATCCACCATTTGTTGTCCAACTAATACTTGAATAAATTCATAAAAATCATCGTTCTTTAAAGAAAAAACATTCTCTGGCAATCTATCATCCATAAGAAGAAAACGATCGATTTTTTATCTAGAAAACCAAATGTGTTCAGACATAATAGTTTATAATAAGTTTGGAAACAAAAATCTGACATATTTTTCAAACACTTCCAGCTGATAAACAACTGTGATGAGTCACATATCGGTAATCTGAAGAAAACATCCATCATTTGAAAGAATGGAATGTTACAAAAAATTGAAAAGTACTAGTTACGCTTGTATAGAGAACATCACTTTAGAAGCTATTGGCTCATAATATTCATGAATCATTAAACCTTTCTCGCTTGCTCGCTCTCTCTCTCGAGAGAATTTTATTTATACAAATATAGTTAATATTTAAATATGTTTCAAACAGAAGCTCTTATTGATACATCAATTTTGCCATCTGATATCATGTCATTACGTGACGTTAAATTTTTTGATTTTGTTCGAAAAGAAGCTGGTGATGCTGCTGTTGATCTTTTTGAAATTCAAAGTATCAATTGTGTTAAATCTTTGTTGATGACAGCTGATGTTTATTGTATTATGAATTTGAAAAGCAAAGCTTTAGATTGTTATAAAAATAAGCATGGTTTTATGCTTGATGATGATATATTCATTATAAAACCTGGTATAAAAGGAAATGTGGACTATCTTATTGATTTATTAAAACAAAAATGTACTGATGATGCAAAGTTAACAAAATCTTCAAAACGTAATCAATCATCACCACCATTAGATAGAACCATAAACACATCCTCAACTACCACAGAATCAACAATGGCGGTTTTATCGAGTAATTCATCAAACATTGTCACATCAAAATCTTTAAACTTATCACTCGATGAACATAAAACTTATATAAATAATACATTGAACAATTGGTGTAAAAATAATGAATCAAGACTTAATTTGTCAAATTTGTCCTTGATTGAAGGTCAACATTACTCTATTTCCATATTAAATGATGCAAGTGGTGTATTAAAAGCTAATATAAAATGTTGTTGTAACAAATGGATATCATTAACAAATAATCGTGGCAAATTTCAACTATCAAACTTTTACAGGCATTTACAAGATTTTCGTAATAATAATACATGTGATAAAATGAAAGAATTAATAAAAAATTGTAAGCTGATTTCATCAATAACTGCAGATAATCAACAATCTTTTACATGTTCAGATACTTTACCAGATCAAGAATCATCATCAGATAATCAACAATCATTTACATCATCAGATACTGCACCAGATCACGAATCATCATCAGATACTACACCAGATCACGAATCATCATCAAATGCGATATTACTTAATTCTACGTCTACCTCTATAACAACCGATGATCATGAAAGTCTTGAACAACCTTCGCCATTATTAAAAAGTAAAAGTAGAGCGAAAAGAAAGCTTCATTCAGTAGAATCATCTTATAATACGAAAGAAGTTGTAAAAAGAACGAGAAGACAATAATATTTACCTTAGGAACATTTTCCTGTTTATACTTCTCGTTTTACTTCTTTCATAGTATATCATACAGTATAGTCTTCTTATGAAGCTGGATTTTTTTAACTTTACAATTTTCTTATTATTTTTAAAAATTTGTCATTCGTTAATTGTTTTCATATTTATATTTTTTTCATATTTTTACACTTTATCAGACGCTATGAAGCATTTACAAAAGATTGTGATGGTAAAAAAAGGAAATTTTTAATCGACAGTTAATGCATAGTCTGTTTTTTATTTCCGATAGCTGAAGGCAATAAGCAGCAGATTTTATCATAGCTTGGATTGCTGGACTTCAGACAAGACTGGAGTCCATTGGAGTCCAATGGAGTCCAATGGAGTCCAATGGAGTCCAATGGAGTCCAATGGAGTCCTGGAGTCCTGGAGTACGCTATTTCCCCCTTGACTATTAATCATTCGAGAAAATGCCGATCTCGATTGCTGATCGTGAGAGGACTACCTGAAGCCGTCTAATGGTGATCGAACCATCTTAAGAATAAGCAGGTTCCAAGATCGGGCTTGCTTCAGTTATTCCGAATAGGAATAATTAAAATGAAGATAAATTGAAAAAATTTCATAACATGCTTTTACTGAAAAAAATAATAAATATGCTATATAATAGATTTGAACTGTGCTTTCAGATTGTACCACAGATTGTGTCGCAAATCATGAGACCTGCAACACTTTTTATCTTAGTATATACCCAAGATCTTATAGATCTGTACTTAAGATCTTATAAATCTGTACCTAATATCTTATGAATCTGTACCCAAGATCTTACATGTCTGTACCCAAGATCTAATTCAAGATCTTGGTATAAGATAATCATATTATCTTATGCCTAAATTTTCAAGATCTGTTAACATTTCTGTACCTTGTATCTTGGCCAAGATCTTGCTTACAAAATGTTCCACTAGGGTATGGATCAGAATATGAACTGTTAAGTTTTAAATAGTGTATTTGTTCAATATGTCTGTTTAAGTGCTGTATTTATTGAAAATACAATAAAGAGATAACGAATCATTTTGAATAAAGGAAAAAAGCAACGTTAATTAAATTGTGTTTTTTTCCTGTTCAATTGACTGTTTCGTTCGTTCAAGATTTATTCGAGTTCTGTCACATAACCGGTGATCGAATGGGTAAACATCTTCGTAGATATTCATTTCTTTGTTATAAAAATTAAGTGCATCTTCTTTCTTTCCCATTTTATCATAAACTAAAGCTAAATTATGAAAAGTGCGAGCTAAATTCCGAGAATCGTTTTCTAAATATTTCTCTCGGATCTCTAAAGCTTCTCTATAGTAGTTGAGTGAATCATTTAAACTGTTGATTGATTTGTATGTATAACCAATCTTGTCGAGACGGTAAGCTATAATAAAGTAATTAATGGGTTTAATTTGTCTTTGAATGTTCAATGCTTCCAATTGATACTTGAGAGATAAATGAAATTGGTTACCATAGATCGACGAAATATCATCAAGTAAACAAAGAATTGAAATAAAGAAAGAATCAGTTTGCCATTGTTTATATATTTCTAATGATTGAAAATAAAATTGAAAAGCTAATTGTAAATGATTCATTTTATGGTAGAGTCTTCCAATTTGATGTAGACTCCAAGCAATATAATGATGATTAGCCGGTAAACCTTTTTTTCTAATGTCTAATGCTTGAAGATGATATTCTAGAGCTTGGTTATAATCATTTTGAGATGAATAAACAGAAGCAATATCTGTGTAAGAAAATGCAATAACTGGATGACCGGGTGGTAAAAGTTCGTTTTCCATATATAGAGCTCTAAAGTGATAACGAAGAGCACTATTAAAATCACCTAAATGGTTATAAACTCTTCCAATACTGTTATACCAGAGATATACAATTTAGATATCACTGTTGTCTCTGTTCTGTGAAATTTTTTCTGCTTCTTGATAGAGTTTTAATGCTTGATAGAATTGTTTAATTTTGGCATAAACTAAGCCTTGGTTATGAAGAATAAATGGAAAATATTCTCGTCGTGATGAATTAGAGGAGAAAGTCAATTGTAATGCTTTATCAAAATGATATAGTGCAAGTTGATATTTTCTTTGGTCTTTAAAAGCAATACCAATTCGACAATGGATATGAGACAAATTTTCGTTGCCTGGATTTTTTTCAAGATATTGAAGAAAATCTAATGATTTTTGATCTTTTCCCATTCTTTTCAGAAGATTACAAAGCATTATTGTTGGACTCTCAAATTCCATTTGTTCCCGATTGTCTTCTAAATATTTCTGTAAAACCTCTCGTCCTTCTCCAGTAGTTTTGATCGTAACAATTAATAAATGAATATCTTCTATTGTTTCTTCAATAATCTGTTCGATTGTAAAAACAGCACCTAAATCAAATAAAACTTCTTTTTCTGTTGGAAAATCACTAAAACCAGATATATCAGCAAAGATAATTGAATTATTTTCATCAGATAAATGACATTTGATTTGAAATAAAACTGGAATCATATCTGGATGACTAATACATTTCTTAGCAAAGGTAATTGCATATGATCGATCACGACTTGTTGACCAATAATTATTAGTTGCAATAAATTTTCCTTGATTTATTTTAATGGTTTCAACTTCTTTTTTTGTAATTATTGTTCCACGATATAAATAAATCATATCATCGGATTGATTTTTCATCTTTTTATGTTCTTCAACAAGTTGATTTGATAAATCGGCAATGTAAAAACGATACATATATAATTGTTCAATATCTTCTGTTCTTAAAGCTTTATTAATTAATTGATAGACAAATGTTTGTCGGGTATACCAACGAATACATTGATCTACGTGATATGTTTCATCAAATTCATTAATATCTTTGAGTATTCGATGATTAGCACGATAATATTGACGACAAGCACTTAACATTTCTTCTTTTGCTTTACCATTGCAAGATAAACAGATAATAACATCCTTGAATAATTGAAACCTGTATAGAATAAATAAGTCATCAAACAAAATTAACTTAGTCAATTTTACCAGAGAAAATCTGCTGATTGTGTTGATATATCTCGAAGAGATTGTTGATGGCAATTATAAAAAGAAAATAATTCGATTTGTTTATTTAAATGTTTAATATTATCTTTTATTGATACTTTAAGTTCATCAAGATTATCAAAGACATTGACAATTTTATAAAAATCATCAACTAGACGATGACAATTGTCTCGATTTCCAGGAAAAATAAATATTGAATCCAACTGAGAAAGATGAAGAATATTTGGAAGTAATTTATATGAATTATCAGCAGATATAATCAGAAAAATCTTTTCTTCATTGATTGTTTTAATATAATCGGTGCATCTATCTATTTCGTTAAAAAAGAAAACGAAATCATTGATTGTTTGAAAATCTTCCATAATTTGTTCAATGTTTGTGGTATTTTCGATAATAGTGTTAAACCATATAAGTGTCACATTTTCTTTATTTTCTCGAACGGATTCATTAGATTGGACTGAGAATATTTCTGCCATTATTTTTTGTTTGGTAGACGATTTTTCATATATAGACTAAATTCGTTGACACAATACTATCGTCTGTTATCTATCAATAAAAAATATTTAGAATAATAAACTGATTACAATGTAAGAGATATAAAAAGACTAGATAAAGTTCAAAGTCCAATGATTCATTAGTCCTGTCCATTGGTTAAACCAGATCCTCAATACATTCGTGTTTTGAATGGATCTGGTTTAACCAGCCTAGTGAAACTACTCATCAAGCGAGTACGACTTGCCAGCGGGAGTACTCGAATTACTCGTATGAGTATTCGAGCATTTTTATGTGTATTTATACTTTCTCGTGTACTACAGCGAGTACTGATATGAGTTGTTTCTTTAAGATTTACTCGCCAGACAAATACATGAGTACTCAATGTAGTACTCATTTTCGTTTTTTCCAGAATGTTTAACAAAACACTTATGCACTAATATGTAAAAAAATAGAATAAGGTTGTGTAATGAAGAAAAATGATGTAATTAAATACAACTATTAGAAAATAATTATTGTCACAACTTATCTTTTTATCCTCCAGACTTTTCTGATGAGTCATTCGTATGGCTTCAATGAATAGTTGTTCTAGAAATACAAAAACGACTTTCCATTTTCAACTGTTCATTTATCGAATAAGATTAAATATTGATTTAAATATATAACCCTAGAGAAAGTACTGAGTTCAGGGTACCCATGTACTGAGAAAGCTCTAGCAGGGTACCCAATATGGGTACTTTGAAAATTTTCAGTAATTTTACTGATGTATGTACTGTTTGGGGTACCCGTAAAAGTACATTCACTGAATAAGTACCTGCATGGATACACAAGTCTGTAACTTTACTGAGGAAATCGCGACAGGGTATCCTAAATTTTTCGCGTTCTGTGTGGCGACTATTCATTCACCGTTTTCTTTTTTACGAACGGCTCTATATAAACAACTCGATAAATCATAAGAAAATAATCAAT